AGATACCTCAAGAAGCTTCCCTTGGCGAAATGGAAGTAGATCCAAGCTCCCAACTCTTTTAGCTTGACTTTCCCCATTCCTTTCTTGCAAATACACACAAATTTGGTGAACAATAGCCTCTTATCTCACTCACAGGAACCCTTAGCTACTTTGGTGCTCTCAAGGATCAAGGTGGCTGCAATGAAGGGCCATAAGGTCCTTTAAATAGAGCTTAGGGCTGGAAAATTAGGGTTTCATCAAACAGCGCAGACTCGCCGAGTCCAGGCGCGAACCCGCATCCAGAACTGCGACCCTACTCGGCGAGTTCGAGCTCCAACTCGCCGAGTCCCCTCACAAAACACCAAAAAATATGAGAATAAAAGATACCTGGAAATCCGGGCTGTTACACTTATTGTGACCAATCTCCTTGCATATGCTACACTTGACTTTCTTTCAAGCTTTAGATACCTTATGGCTAGCAAGTCTTTCAACAACATTCATCTTCCTTTTAGTTTTACTGGCCGGCCATGCATTCTTATGTTAATAGGTGGCAAATGTGGAATCTATTCTATTTGTGGCCACATGTCACTCACATTCATGGATGCAATTCTATATTTGTAACTTGTTATATATGTGGTGGTACTAAACATCACATCCACATATGCTTCCCCGTCCCTATTTAGATATGAAATACATGTTGTAAAGTGAAAACATCCATACACATTCAATTGCCACAACCTATAAGAACATGTCTTTTCATCAAGGTCAACCTCGTATTCCTCACTTGTTCCCCTGACTTCAAATTGGTTTAAATCACTAGCTAACACCTCAAAATGTCTCATGTGCTTTTTAAGCTCATTCACCTTGTCCCTTATTTATGGACAAATCTAATTACCCAATTGTTATCCTCTCACCTTCATATTATACAGTCTCTCCGTCATGTACAATCATAGCTCTTCCGATATTGTTATAATGGGCTTCTTTCTGGCATTTACAATTAGAACATTAAAACTCTCACACATGTCATTATCAACTGAGTTACAACATTTACCTGGTTGGAAGAATCCTCTAGACCAAGTTTTTGGATCCTTGTCCATCAAGTATCTATGTGCATCTGATTTTAAATTTTAAATTTCAAATTCTCTCATTGTAGCTCTAAATGCATTGTCAGTTGAAGCTTTTGATGCTCTAAAAAAATGTCTTATAGTGGGCTCCACTATATCTCTTAAGCAAATTCTAGCAAATATGTCTAGCATACTGTCTATGCTCTACATAAGGCATCATCTCCTTCACAACCTCAATTAACCCTTGTATGATAATTCTTTTCATTATGTTATAATGAGAAATATCATTGATTAAAGACTCAAATAATAAATACACTTACCTTATGTTGACATGACATTAATTCGTATCCATTTCCTATATTCAAATGAAGATCATCAATTAAAAGATCTAAAAACCACTTCTAATTCTACTTGTTCTCTACAGATATGACTGCCCATGTAATAGGAAAGATTTTTTCATTAACATCGATACCAACAACACAAAGCAACTCCCCCTTACAAATCCCTTTCAAAAAACACCCATCAAGTCCAATTATCTTTCTACAACATTCAATCCAACCTTGTTTCATACCATTAAAACACACATAAAACTTACTGAAATAGTTCTTCCCATCAGACATATGATCTACCTCAAGTTTTACAGTGAACCTGGATTTGTTCTCAACATCTCTTGGCTACATGACCAAAGTTTTGTATAATGATCCTTAAGATTACCTTCTATAAGTTCCATTACATACTTCTTTGCTCTTCTACATTGCCCTATACTGACATTCACACAAAACTTCTTGATCACTGCTAGTCTAAGTTTACTTACACTCATTTTTGCCTATGTAGAATTTACATGGTACAGTGGCTCCCAATCCATGAATATGAAACCAGTTACCCTAACAAAGTTCCTAGCACAATTATGTTCATCCTTCAAAGACTTATTTGCAAAGTAGCTTCATCACTCATCCAAGAGGTCCATAATCTAAATGTGCAGGCACCTTTACAACACCTAACAAGAAGTCTATATATGTCAAAAGATTACAAGTAAATATACCTTGATAATTGAGTTCCACCATCGCAAACAGTCTATTAACATGATTAAGTTGTGTTGTTTCTGCTACTTGCTTCTTTCTTGAAGTCGATCGATAGCACTGATACTTTGATTGTAAGCAACTAGGAAAACCATAACTGTTGACTCGCCTTTTACTTCTTGCACAGTGAAATGAGAATGAGGAAGGAGACGGGTTAAATGAGTCTGACTGTGTGTGTCTCTCTCTCTCTCTCTCTATATATATATATATATATATATATATATACACACACACACACACCAAATTTACACATCATTAAGACTTTCAACTTAAAATAAATGTTATGTCGGATGTGCAACCAGAAATTTTTTTAATATCGGTCACAATTGTATAATTAACATCTACAATAACATTTAAGTAGTCTATTGCCCGAAAAAAATATCATAATTGGTCAAATCGGACCATACATCAAAACTTAAATGTGTTATAGTATATTTTCCGTAAAATATATATTAAACTTGTAAAGGTGTTCAAAATTAATAATTTTGATTATTTTGATTAATTCATGAGCTTTTTATGGGAAAAAGAAACTTGTCATTTTGTATACTAAACTTTTAAATATGGTTATTTGAGTGAATTTAAAGTGATAATAAAAAAATATATAACATGCCTTTGAATAAAATAAAAATATGATCGAAATGTCTCATCTCATGAAGCTGATATAATAACTTCTTTACGATTCTTTGGTACCTAAACTTTCCTTTTTCTTGATTTGTGGCCGTTCGGCCCGAAAATCTAGACTTTCTTTCAAGATATCTTGTTAGGTTAGGAATTAGGATAGAATCAAATCACAAAAAAATCAATTTCTGTGATCTTATGGCCATAATAATTTATCCAAAATAAATAAACTCCATCATTTTATATTGGACATGTTTTATCCTCACTTTTTAAGTTTCCAACAAATACTTAATTAAATATTTACATCGAACGAATCCTATAGCATATGATGTGTAATTTGAGAAACTATTTTATAATATAGGAATTACACATGTGGCAACATAAAAATTAGATATATAGCATCTAGATTTGGAATAAAAGAAACAAGGGTAATCGTGGATGTTTTATTTATAATAGAAGTGATTAGGATTAAGATTAGGATTATGGTTAGGATTAATAATGAAGTGTCACATACCAATGAATATTTAAATCTTAATGGGGACAAGCAAATCCATTTGGATGAAGTTTCATGAAGATATCGTCCATCTAAAGCCTAAAGGCCATACTACATGTGATGATGTGAACTTTGGGGCCAAATTTTGCTTCTTCAAATAAAGCATGCATGCCTACTAAATATGAAAATATTTACATCTCATGTGGAACTCATGGTTATTAAATGCCACCATTTATATCAAATCAGACTACATACATAAATGAGAATCTTAATTTGGGTTTCCAACTTATCAGTATTTTGGAAGTTTTCCCAAGTGACATTAGTATTTGGGGTGGTCCCTTTTCGTATTAATTGGCGTCTATGTATTATTCATTTTTACTAAATCAAGTGGATTGTGTGCTTATGCCTTATCTTATATCATAAGGATCATAACTAATTAAAGGGAAACTATAGAAAAGAACTGTATATTGAGGATTATTTGGTTTAACCATATATATTTTATTTTTTAATTAGATTATAAAAGATTTTTTTTTTTTTTTTAAAAAATCGTTTCATCTATAATTATGTTATATCATGTTTCACCAATAAATTTTCAAAACAATTAACATAATTTGTTATATCAGGTTAAAAAGAAAAAATATATAGAAAAAGAAAACATTATCAAAAATATATAGTTTTTTTACTAACTAAAAATATCCAAATTCGAGCTAACATAACACCAAGCGATTTTTTTTTACATATTTATCATTTATCATAAATAACAATTAGAGTAAATTACACTTATAGTCCCTATGGTTTGAGATAATTTACACATTTGGTCCTAACTTATTTTTTAACCCAGAAAGTCCTACTGTTTGTTTTTGGTACGCGCTTGATCCTTACTGTTTGTTTTTGTTACGTGTTTGGTCCTTATATTATCTAAAAATACTATTATTTAAATAGGGAAACATGTTGGATGGATAAGATAAGGTGATGGGGTGGGGTTGAGGGTGTATTTATTTAAATAAATTAAAAAATCAAGGGTAAAATAGTTTTTTTTAAGTAAGTCAGGGATCAAACGCGTAACAAAAACAAACATTAAGTATCTTCCAAGTTAAAAAAATAAATTAAAGACCAAACACGCAAATTACCCTAAACCATAGAGATTATTCGTGTAATTTACTCTAACAATTAACTTTCTGAAAACTGATTTTATGAAAGTACTTTGATTAGTGAAATATTTTTCTTGAACCATTATTCCCAAAAACATGAATAATTTCGTAATTTTTTGCTAATTATATTCATATTACGAAAAAACTCATTTTTTTACAAAGTGAGATCAATTTGTAGCGGGACCACCATTCATAAAATGATCTTGCAAAATAAAGTAACTTACCTACAAACTAATTTTTTAAATGTTATTTATTTCAACAAAGTTTATGAAGCTTTATCAAAATTATTTCAAATATGTCTTTTGTTAATTATTTATGTGGTTTTGTACTTATTTGTTATCAAAAGAAACATGCTAAAATAGTACACGATCATAAAAAGGGGTGACAATTAAAATATTAATAGTGCTTTTAGGTCTTTCATTATTTTGAAGAAAGAAAAGAAAAAAAGTTAAAGGATAAGTGATCTAGACTTCTAGAGAGATAGAAATACATACGATCGAAAATTTAAGAAAAATTATAATTTTTTTTAAACAAAACACCTATCACTTAACTCATTGTTTAGTTGAAAAGTTATCATATATGTAGGAAAAAAAAAACATTAAAATTTATTTCTTTCCAACTACTTATTGTACTTTATGAATACAAAAAAACAAAACAAAAATTTCACGTACAGATTACACAGAATGATGTGAAAGAACAACATTGATGCATAGACAACAGAGCAACTGCATAAGAGGTAGTACTAAACGCTTTACGAGTTGTACCCATGATTTCAAAGAAACTTACACAACGAGTAGCCGCTATCCACCCCCACAATTTCTGAACCGGAGATCAATGGCACTGTTACCGGACCTTTTCTCATCTTATAATCTTTCGAAAACTGGTGAACGGTTTCTTGAATTCCGTCGAACGCCACCAGGAACTCCGCCGCATCACTCTGGCACAAAATCTTCTTCACCACCGTTTCCAATGCATTTGTCCTGTTCGAAATATGTTAAAAAAAAAAAAAAAAAAAAAAAAATTGAAAAGTTTGAATGTTGGATTGATTTGTAATTTGTTTACCTGAAGTTTTGGGCCTTGACGATGAGACGATGGACTTTTTTGAGTTCAGAATTGACTTGATCTAAAGTAGATCCATTGGGCTTTTCGTTAGCGATTGCGAAAGGGATTCGGAGAATGCAATTGGCTTGAATCTCCATCATTTCTTCATCGATGACAGCTTCTTCGATCCGCAAGTCATGGATCAATTGAGAAATGGCCTTTTGTGTGGCACCTGCGTGAGATAAAGATGAGGCGAGGGTTGGTGAAGATCGGATGAGGGAGCTAAAGAGGCCCAAAATGGAAGATGGGCGCCAGTCACCTAGCCATGAGAGAGTGGCGAGTTCCAGAGGTGGGCTGGATTTAGGCATGAGAAGCTCGGCGACATCTTTTGGTCGTGTTGGGTTTTTGGCGCGAGAGTATTGGGCTTGGAATCGTTTCAGTTGTTTATCGATTCGATCTTCCAGAGATTTGAGTTGCCTTTCGAGTCGTGCTGATCTGTGATACCTGTCTTGCTTCCATAGTCTGTACCTCTTCCAACTGAACGATTCACCTAATCAAAATCACAACCAAATTGATTATCTCATGAATACACGATGTTCTTCGTCTCAGATCCGTAAATCGATGTGGATTAGACCTAATTTCTGTACAACATGCTGCGATCATAACTGTAAGTGAGATGAATTATCCGATAAAACGCAAGGAAGTTTCATAAGATTACAAGTTTCTGGAATCTACTACCATAATTCGTACTAGAAATGAGATTAACTCTCCAAGAAGATGCAAGAATGTTTCGTAGAATCAGTTCAACAATTTGAATCAGTGTAGAGCTAAAATCAATACACACGAGGGTTAATTATGTAGAACATGCAGTGAGGAATTCTCCTACTCCTACCACAGTTCGTGCTAGAAACGAGAATAATTCTCTTAGAAATAGCCAAACTAGTTCTTATCCTTATAAGTTCAACGTGAATCTGTAGATTGAAATTGCAAGTTGATCATAATATCTTAATTTCAACACGAGCCAAGTGTTTCAGATGTAAATAGCAAACAGAAAATGCTCATAATTAATGATTGAATTAATCTGTATACCTAATTTAGGCGAGTTTTGTGAGTGGAGTGTGAGGCATCGGATTTGCTCCGTTGGAGGATCTTCGGATTCCTCTTCATCATCTAATACCGCTTTTCCGCGATCTTGGTTCGACATGCATGGTTTCCTGAGAATTTGAAGATCAGAATATTATTTAAATTGAGCCCTAATCACACGCTGATTGTTGTGTGATTGAATCTCAATACATTGATTGAAGTAATCAAATCAAAGATAGATAAAGATCGAAAGAGGATTGAAGTTACGATTGGGATGAAGCCTTCTTCGTGTCTTTCTGTTTCTTCTCCGTCATTGTGTTTGTGTAATTGCGCGCCAAATTTTGTTTCAACTTTCTAGCTCTGTTTCTGTATATATATATATATATATATATATATATATATATATATATATATATATATATATATATATATATATATATATATATATATATATATATATATATATACACACACGCATGACACATTGGGGCTCCAAACAAACCCCTTCTCCACTTACATACACACATGCTATGAATTGCATTTTCACAGTTCTTGAAAGTACATTGACCTTCTATGAAGATTGAAGAATGTGGTATTTTTCAAAAAGAAATAGAACAAATAAAGAAATGGGTGATAATTAGAATTCAGAAGCGTTGGAGTGGCATGGGTGTAAATTAATTAAAGAATAAGGGTTATGTTGAATGATGTAGAAAATAACCAATTAACCATTCAAATGAATAATGAATGCTTTCATGATGCCTTTTGAGTTGGAATTTACCTCAAATGAGTATAGAATCTTCGAATTTAGTGGAAATTGATGGTGAAATTGATCATACAATGTAATTTGAAGAGTTATAAAAGTTTGTAACATTAGATGAGCATATTGCATGTGGCATGACTATGTGAGAAGCCTTGATATAGTGAGGCTAGAAACATGACTATGTGAAGATGAATGACATAAAGGTGGCCCCATGAGATGATTTGGTAACATCATGAAACTATCTTATGTAATTTAAGGTGGTGTTTGTGGTTATTTTTTGACTTCAAAATTGTTTTTTGAAAAAAGAAATGTTCGTTGACTTATGATGGTAATAAAAAGAAGTTTTTAAAAAATGTTTAGATTAACTTTTGTGATTAAAAAAATATAAATGTAAAATTAATAAAAAGGGAATGGAAAGAAATGAAAGAAGAAAATAAGAGTGTAAGAGTTCATTAAGAGTAGTATAGTCATTTCCCAAAAGCCAAAAGCACTTAAAAACTCAAGATTTTTTTTTTCTAAAACATGTCAAAAAGCCAGTTTGAAAAAAATTTATACGATAGCTTTTTTTTTAATTTTTTTTTTTGATTTGTTGACTTTTTGAAAAGATAATAAATTAATAAGCTATTTTGAAAAGCAATCTCAAACACCTTCCAAATATTTTTAATCTATTTAAATGATTGAATTACGATAATAAACATTCGTGTTTCATGTTTATAGGAAGAAATTAAATAAAAAAGTTTGAATGTAAAATTTCGAAATACTTGATAGTAAGTTGTTATTTTTGAACTATAAGGTTTAAATTCAAAATACTGCCGGTAAGAACTGTTTAGATTATTATTGGATAGTGGGGCTAAGCTAAAAGTTTGAGGAGTCGAGAGTGATGATGAATTAGTTTTTATCATTACTCTCCCGAACTCCTATAACCTCTCTTGTACACAATATGCTGGAAAAACATGAACTTTCTTTAACTAGAAAATATGATTATTTTTCCGAATTTAGATATCGAGCCCCCTGTTTTTTGTTCGGTTCCCTGAATAAATTTAGACGTTTTAATAATATTTAACTAGATTTTGTTGTGCTTGAAGAGAGCTTCAGAATGATATATTATACATCGAAATTGGAGTTGTGATTATGAGATGTCGTCTCAAAGTAAGATAATTGGAACAAAAAGATGGAATTTGGAAAGTGAATTAATGACGTCCTGCATTTAGTGGGTGTATATAGTCACGAGTTCCTAACCAGTGTAATGAATGGTGAGAGTCCTAGTAGAAGGTTCATCCATGCACGCATACACATGGACATGATCGTAGACATGGTTCACATATTTTTCGGAGTGGTACTTATGAATGTACTTTGCACTTTGTATGTAAAATGGATTATATATATATATATATATATATATATATATATATATATATATATATATATATATATATATATATATATATATATATATATATATATATATATATATATATATATATATATATATATATATGGGAAAAGTGAATAAACCCTTAAGGGTATATAAACTTAAGTACCCAAACACACCATAATACGTCCTCTTCGGATCCCAATTCCAAGTATTCTATCACTCTCTAACAGATCTCTCATAAGCTCCTTGCTGCTACCTATTCACTCTTAAGCATCTCGTAGCAGCTCACCTCTCCCTAGGCTAAGACATCACAAATCAGTCACAAATCAGGGCACTCTAGTCCTAATAGGAATACCTAGCCTACTCTAGCAAGAGAATACATCATATCAATTTTAATAAACATATAATATAAGGATATTTTGGGAAATCACCGTTCGGGCGCTGACTGATCGTACACACGTTTCTTCTCTGAGTTTCTCTAAAAATCTTTTACTTTTAGAAAAATTTGGTTCTCTTTTGAAAATATTTTCCAAATCCTCAGTTTGAGTTCAAATACTCCCGAAGGTGTACCCGAATCCCTCAAACCAAGGCTCTGATACCAACTTGTAACACCGTAAATTTCAAAACAAATTTTCAAATTTTATAAAACATAATTCACTTAATATTCATAAAACAACCATATTTGAACATTCAATCCAAGTAATACAAAATCCCAAGATCTCAAAATCATAAATCCCATGCGTGTGTACAGATCAAGTCGGCGCCTTCCCACGGTCGTCACTAGTACCTGAAACAAATAACACCAAACACTGTAAGCACAAAGCTTAGTGAGTTCCCCAAAATACCACATATAACACATATTAGCCACTCGAGGCTATAACTCTGTGGGTCCGTGCACCCAAACTCTGTGAACCCTCAGGTTCTAACTCTGTAAACATGCACAACATAAATCACAAAGAATAATGCAGTGCAACACATAACATATAAATATAGCATACAAGCACTGTATCACATAACTCTATTTACCTACTCAAGGTAAAGTATAGTGAGAAGACTCACCTCGCGTGTCTCGGTAATTCGTAAATCCCTGAAATCACTAGTGCTCGATCTCCCGAGCTATAGTCCTCCTATAACACAATACATCTCTAATTAACACTTTCCCAACTAAGGTTGACTATCCCTTAACAAGTCAACATAGGTCAACACTGGTCAATGGTCAACGGTCAACTTTGACCGGACTCGGCGAGTGCACTATAGTGACTCGGCGAGTCTAGCGCATACACTGATTTCCCTGGGATCCTCACTTGACACGTTGAGTATTCTCCTAACTCGACGAGTTCCACCTGGCATGAGTTGTGGGGCCTCCACGACTCAACTCGCCGAGTCTCAAGAACAACTCGGCGAGTCCCAGCTTGACTCAGTCCACCTGTCAACCCACTCTGACTCTCCCTGACTCACTGAGTCAATCCCTCAACTCGGCAAGACCACTCGCTGAGTGGTGCTGGGCAATCTTCATGCTACTCGCCGAGTCTGTTCTTCGGACTCGGCGAGTCCATGCCATGCAACGACTCAAACTCACTCCTAAGGTCAGATCTGTTCCACTAACTCATAGATCCAGTCCTTCCAAGCTTATTTATCACGTAAAGTTGCTATCTTGATACATACAACATCTATATGACCATATATGATGATTTAGCCACAAATACCACAACTCAAGGTCATAACCTCCATTGCTCTTCATAAAGCTTGATGAGTGAGGCTCTCTGGACCTCTATGGATCCAGATCCAAAGCCTCATCACTAGAAAGGGACTATTTGGGCATCAAATCAACCCAACAAAGGCCACAAGAAACCCTAAATCCAAATATACTTCATAAAACAGAAGATTAGCTGAAATAATACCTCAAGTTTGATGATCTAAGCTTCAAATCCACATTATAGCAACCTCCTTTGCTTCCTCTTGGCTAGGATCTCCTTCTTCTTGCTTAAACAACACCACAAAGGTCAAGAATGGCTTCCTTTCTCTCTCAAAACGTTCAAGCACTCTAGGGTTTCTCTCTATGGATTGGTGAGCACAAATGAGGGCCATAAGGCCCTTTAAATAGGTCTCAAACCCTGGGAATTAGGGTTTCATTACACAGCGTGGACTCGCCAAGTCCAGACGCGAACCCGCATCCAAAATCGCGATCCTACTCGGCGAGTTCGAGCTCCAACTCGCCGAGTCCACTCACAATTCTCAAAAATGCACCAATAATAAATACCTGGAAATTTCGGGCTGTTACAATTCTCCCCCACTAGAACTAGACTTCGCCCTCAAAGTCTCGCTCTGCAAATAACTCCGGATGCTGCTCGCGCATCTCACGCTCCGGTTCCCAAGTCATCTCGGACCCCTTCCGATGCTGTCACTGAACCAAAACCAAAGGTACCTCCTTGTTCCTCAGAACTTTGATTTTCCAATGTCTGATCGCCACTGGTCTCTCAGCATAATTTAGGCTCACATCCACCTGAATATCTTCTAATGGAACCACTGCCGACTCATCGGCTATACACTTTTGCAATTGCGACACATGGAAAGTGTTGTGAATCTGCCCCAACTCTGCTGGTAAATACAAACGATAGGCTACCCTGCCTACCCTCGCGACTACCCGAAATGGTCCAATATATCGGGGCCCCAACTTGCCCCTCTTCCTGAATCGAATAACTACTTTCCAAGGAGAGACCTTCAGGAGCACAAAGTCACCGACCTGGAACTCAAGCTCGGGCCGGTGTCTGTCCGCATAACTCTTCTGTCGACTCTGAGCAGTTAGTAACCTCTGCCTGACCTGCTGGATTGACTTCTGTCATCTGAAGTATGATCTCAGTGTTTCCCATAACGCGTTGTCCGACTTCTCCCCAGCAAATGGGGGTCCGACACCTCCTCCCGTACAACAGCTCAAAGGGTGGCATACCGATGCTCGAATGATGGTTGTTGTTGTAAGAAAACTCGGTCAAGGGCAAATACGAATCCCAACTTCCCCCGAAATCCAATACACATGCTTTGTCACACCCCAAAACCCAAACGGCAGAAACGTTATGGGGTGGATGACGTCATGTCAAGTATCACAACACATGCATTATAGTAATCAAAGTACAACAAAACATTGCATTAATAGTAATAGTTTTACATGGTTACATCAATACATCAAAGTAATACAAATAAT